CAACAACAACAACAACAACAACCCAAGATGGCAGGAATAGCCAACACTCCAAAAGAATAACATACAGAAGGATCTTGATAAACTTGAACATTGGGCACTATCTAATCAAATGAAATTCAATGGTGAAAAGAGTAAGGTTCTACATTTAGGCAAGAAAAATGAAATGCACAGGTACAGTATAGGTGGTACCTTGCTCAATAGTAGTAACTGTGAGAAGGATCTTAGAATCCTAGTGGACAACCATTTAAATATGAGTCAGCAGTGTGCAGCAGCTGCCAAAAAGAGCCAACACAGTTCTTGGCTACATAAACAGAGGGATTCAAGCAAGACAATGGTGTTAATACCACATTATAATGCCTTGGTAAGGCCACACTTGGAATACTGCATTCAGCTTTGGTCGCCACAATGTAAAAAGGATGTGGAGACTCTATAAAGAGTGCAGAGAAGAAGATGATTACAGGACTGGAGGCTAAAACATATGAAGAACGGTTGCAGGAAATGGGTATGTCTAGTTTAATGAAAAGAAGGACTAGGGCAGTCATGATAGCAGTGTTCCCAAATCTCAGTGGTTGCCACAAAGAAGAGGAAGTCAAACTATTTTCCAAAACACCTGAGGGTAGAACAAGAAGCAATGGGTGGAAACTAATCAAGGAGAGAAGCAACTTAGAACTGAGGAGAACGTTCCTGGCAGTTAGAACAATTAATCAGTGGAACAACTTGCCTGCATAAGTTGTGAATGCTCCAACACTGGAAGTTTTTAAGAAGAGATTGGATAAACATTTGTCTGAAGTAGTGTAGGGTTACCTGCCTGAGCAGGGGATTGGACTAGAAGATCTCCAAGGTCCCTTCCAACTCTGTTATTCTATTTCTATTTCTATTAGTAACAGGAAAGCTTTGTGCATTTCCATATATACATATAATCATTCATTTTATCAAGATCTCTCTTTTAAAAATCATAGCACAGAACTAGATGTGATGCCTCTACGTTCAAGAGTATATAAGAGCCAACATGATGCATATCATTATTTCAACAAAATAACAACAGCATCATTAAAGTGATATTTTACTTATATTTTAATATACTAATCTGGATTATTTATTAATATAAAACATAAACGCTAAGTATTTTGTATCTATATTCTTGTCATCTTCTCATTTAGCAGATGTACAGAATTAAAGAAAACAAACTCAGTAGTAAAAGTAGTTACAAATCAGATTGACTAATGGTCTAATTTAACTAATTAGAAGACTGCTTAAATTTATTTATTTATTAAATTTATAGGAATCCCAATTTCTTAGCACTCTGGGTCGCTTAAAAATGCAATATTTTTACTAGGTATATGTACTGACTTTACAGAGACTAACTTGATTCTGCACCTAATAACGGCAGCAAAACTGTTGGTGGCGCAATACTGGAAGAAGGAA